AAAAAAGTTTTCCTTAAACCAAATAAGGGTTTAATGACCTAATAAAATGAAAAATGAGATAACTAAATCAAATCACTTATATTTATAGTGAGACAAATAAAATTTCTTGTGTTCAAATTAATGACAAGTAATTACCATATGCCTTGCAAACAACAATTATATAATTTCAATAGCACTTAAAATTATAAGTTTACAAATATGATATATCATTACATAAATGAATACATGTAATATTATAGATAAATGACTAAGTATAAACTATAGACTTGCCTTTCAGCATATTAAGGAAAAATTAATCTCAAGATGTGTGTAAACTAATTCGAGGACACCTTAATAAATTAACAAAAAAAAAAAACTCAAAGGTAATAAAATATGAATTTGTTGGAGTTTAGATTATGTGCATGTAAAATTAATCAATAATAAAAAAAATCATGCTAATTAAATGTTCTTAATAAAAAAAAAAACTCAAATATGGTACACAAGATAAAGTGTAGTAAAAAAAAGCACATACTACTAAGCTAATTAATCAAACTGTTGTTATACATAACAAAAAGAAATTTTACTCTATAACTCAATAAAATATTTAAAATTTCTCAATTATGCCACTATCAAGTACTAAATTATGATTTAAATACAAGCAAATTCTTACACTACAAAAAAAAAAAAAAAACACATTATTTCTTTGACAATGATACAAATATGAAAACTAATAAGAGTAAAATATATCACACAAATTATTTTTTTTTTTTAAATCTTAAGGGGCCGGCCTTAATAAAACTCTATCTTTTTTTACAATGTTATATGACATTATTGTTAGAATTTAAAGATTAATATATGTAAAATTTAGAATACAAAAATTTAACTAAATAAATAAATTGCGTACTTTAATATCTATAATCAGTATATTACCTAAGGATCATCACTAATTATTATAATTCCATTATGTAAAACAAATATGATTTGTAATGAGAATTATGTCTTTCTTTGCCTATTCAACTTTTGTATAGTAACAATCAATAGGGTATGTCACTTCATAATTTTACTATTTATAAAAGTAGGGTTTTTTGAATAGAAAACGAGGCCTAATCAATTATAATAATATTTTTGGGCATTGCTATCAAGCAACTCACTTTTAATTTCAAACTTCACAACTATTCATATCATACCATATAATTGAGATAAAATCTAAATCCACTTGGATTACATAATTGTATTAAATTTTACCAATTATTTATTTGACCCAATTTTGAGTACCAAATACAATTAACAAAAGCTCACATAAAATTTTCTAACATTCCATCACTTGAGCAACACTAATTGATTTTGAAATTTAAAAAAAACATATTTTTAAAAATGACTCTTAGGTCAAATATAACTTTAGTGGCTAAAAATAAATCAAAATCTAACACAAAATTCTGTTTAATGAAAATATTAATATTGAATTGTGTGGTCATCATATCATTAGCAACGTAAGACCCCTCATAATCATAAATATCAAATAACTCCACCACATTAATTTCAATAGGTGTGACAAAGTATAGTGTGGTTTGATATATTATGATCCCTATAATATATAACATGTCAAAATGAACATTTTTCTTTATGGTTTCAAAGAACCCTTTATCAAGATATATATAATCCCTTTTATACTTTCCCAAGGAAACCTTTAAATTTTATATAAGTTTCATAAAAATCCAAAAGATAATCTCTCTTGCTTTCTTAAACAAGTCTTTACACTTCAAAAAGAAGTTCACACACTTTTAGAGAAGCCTTTACACTTTAGACCTCGAGATCTTGATGTTAATACCTATATGAGCTCATAAAAATTATTAGTAAAATATACGTATATTATTATAAAATAATAAATGATACAATAAGCAAAATAAAGTTTATTTTTAACAAAGAAATCAACTTCTCTTACTAATCAAAAATATCTAAAATAATCTTAATAGATAACTAACAAAGCAATAATCTCTAGATCAATAAATTAGTCAATATAGTCATAATAATGCATGACTATAATTATCGTTCATAATTTCACCTTAATATCACTCTTACTTTATAAGGTAGTATTAACAATTACCTTTAATATGTCTTTTCTACTAGATTCTATAAACAAGTCATTCATATAGATACTAACACCATTAAATATAAAATATTTTAGTGAAAACAATCATTTATTACCCAAAATGGTATGTTCTTTAAATTTTGATCAAACATTAAAGCATAAGAGTGACAAAACTTTATCAACTTTAATAAAGTCAACTGCAACTTTTACAAAAATTATTTTTCATATAATTCATAATACATATGTCCAACAATTTCATAATTGCAACCACGCAACTTTTTCTTATCAATATCCTTACCATTATATATCATGTAATAAATTATTATTTTTTTTTGAACAGGTTTTTACAAGGGGCGGGTCGAACCCAGCCCAGGGGAGGGGGGAAATGCATCGTGAGTGGCTATTGCCACTTGAACCAAAGGGCTCGGTGCATATCATGTAATAAATTATTTAACCCTCATTGACCTTTAAGACACATTATTTTGTACCCCTTAGATGTCTCTAAAATAATTACATTAATAAATAACCAACTTTTATATTATCTTGCCATTAGCAACATAAAACCATAAAATTAAGAGCAAACCTCTAAGTATAAGGCTAAGCAACAGAAACTTACATAGTGGAGGATTTTGATTGTGATTGGCGCCTTTCACATTCCAATTTATGTGGTGTTGTCATATACTTTAAAGTAAGGTTTTTCTTACTAAGGAGGTAGTTGTATTGTGATTCCATCCTCTTTTAACTATAAAGAAACTTCATATATTTATCCCGCTTAACCATTAGTTCAGTCTTTTGACTCAATCTGTTGAATTAACCTTTTGTAAAAGTCTCCTTCTTCGGTTTCGTCACCACTCCTTTTCTTTGCTTCAACTAAATCTCATTATCTTTCTCTTTCAGATCTTTAAATGTGGTGAGAAGTAATTCCTTCTCCTTTTGTGCTTTGCCGAT